AAGTTCTTCATTGCCACGAAATATCATGATGAATAAATTCGGCGACATTGTGCCTCGATGCGTATTGTGCGATCTGAAAAGTTACAGGGAATATTATAACCCCAGTGTGCCGTAATGGAACTTAAGGTGAATAGGAAAGTTTCTCTCCTTACTTTTGCCAGAATATTTCAGACTTTCCCTAAGATTGTTTCCTTCGAAAATCACTTCATAATCTTCCATCACATCTCTAAAACTTATAAATTGTCTGCAAAAGAGTATTTTCCGAAAAAAATACCGAGACATAACTTCGTTTCTTTCTGTATTTAGCATAAACGATGTACAACAAAAAAAAAGCTTATGCATCGATTACCTAACTATTTTAATATACTTACAGATTTAATTAAAAAAGTTTGATACACATAATATAATACGACATAGAGTTTAGAACAGATTTTGGCAGATATTTATGATTAATTTTTATATCTAAGAGAGGAATATTATTGTATATAAACAAAGAAAATAAGAATAAACAAATATACGCACTTTGTGTAATATATTTGTTTATTTTTGGTTTCTTTATTCTTGCTTTTTAATACTGTTATATTTAACAATTAAAACCTATTATAAAATTAAATTATTTAAAATTGCATAAAAAGTTTTGCGAGCTTGATAATTAAATTTATTAAAAGCATACAAGAATGTTGTGCGCATTTAAGCAATATATTCACTTATTTTTGTTTTTTTTTGCTTCTTAATATTATTTAATAATTTAACAGTAATTAGAATTTGTTATAATTAATTTATCCAAAATTACAATATATAAAAAATTTTGCGACTGTTTTAAGAAATGGGACTTTGCTCACAATATCAATGCTTGAAGAAAATTGACTCACAATGTGATTTATGAACTGCATTTCAATTTCTGTGAAGACAATAATTTATGAGTTCTACGAGCATGTGGTCTGTTGCTTCGTTCAGCAATATCATATACTGACAGATGGTCAGACTTGCTACTTAAACGCAGCGAGGAACATCGAAGAGGAATCGTTTGGAGAGATTAAACGTAGTTAACGATCCACCAAACTCCTCTGAAATAACGACTGTACGCGGAGTTGCTCTAATTAAACTTGGTCCAATAAATCACTTTATTAGTTAGATCCCGATTCCGTCATACAATTATATCATGTTATTACGTACTTGCGAGAGAATTGTGTTACGCTTCAGCAGCCTGATTTTACGAACATTTCACGGTGTAAGTTAGAAACGGCGATTTTTCCGTACCAATAACATGAATATAAAGGTGATCACGTGGAAATAGAAGATAAAAGAGTAAAAGTCGGTTATTAATGAACATATTAATTTGCCGTTGACGCACATTATTAAATTTCGCAATTACATGTCATCAAAGACATGCACAACCGCAGTCAGAAACGCGCATTTTTTGCAATACAGTAGTAATAGCCGATATTTGTATTGGTGTAATCAAATTTCACGGATGAATACAGCATGCGTAATTTGCACCAATCTGCATATAATGATCGGCCAATGTTAGCAATATTGACACGCAGCATCCATTCCCAAACACACGTGACAAGTTGCTTGCGGTTCAGGACAAATACGATAACTTTGTTACTATGTGATGCGTACCACGCCATTCGTGTTATACCATTTGTCGGGCAAAACGGTGCTGGTATCACTCGCTCTGCCTGTTGCGTAAGCTCTTTTTTTTATGTCATCGTTATATGTAACATAGGAAAAGGTGAATCGCATAAAAGAGTGAAACAGAATCAAACGAAGAAGACATGTCGCAATTTTATAACGATGTCATATATACCGATAATTAACCATTTTTACGTTGATTAATGAAATTTTTTTTATATTAACGATGGTTTCTACTAGTGATAGTTTGATCATGATTCACTGATTTTACGAATAGCGCGAATATGGCAAGGTGATTTCAATCATAGCGTGGAAAAAGCCACACGCAGTGCATCCTTTCGATCGAATATCGTTAACAATATAGATGTCTGACCTATATCCCAACATTCCACTGTGTACAACACCGTGCGGGAATCGAAAGCGTAGAACGTCCGAAAAAATCGATCACCGCGCTGAAGCGGGTTTCGAATAACTCATAGTGAAGCTGCGACGCAAGCGTGCACGCATACACGCATCCGCCCTGCTAGGCTGCGTTTGGAAACTTCATCCGACAGAATAACGTTACTAAAAATAATGTGTTTTATTAAAAATAATTGTTATCGTTACTTTTTGTAAAATGTAATTCGTTTCTGTTACTTGTTATTAATTTTAAAAAATGACGCATCACCATTATTGTTAGTTAGAAATAATTTCTTACTTTTCTTTAACGTTAAAGTATAAGATATTAAATTAAAAAATTACATTATTTAATAATCAATACTAATTGTAACAATCGATATTCGAACTTAAAACTCTAATTGCAATTAGAGCTTACAAGTATAAGCTATAATAATCTCTATATAACAAGCTTCTCTTTATATTAAATTTGCCTAATAAATTTTCTAGAATTCTTAATGTTAATATTTTTTAAATATATGCTTATTTTTAAGAATCTAGATTGTAATTTATCAACATAGATTTTATTAAAAAATTTTATTAAATACTGTTCTCAATTAATGTCGTTATCAAGAGTACATTTCAATATTCACCTTAATATACCGAAAATTTATGTTTTATGTTACATTGATTTTTAGTGTTTGCAGTAACTGCCAGAATGAAACCTAATATACAAAGCATTTTATTAATACTTAAATGTTTATTTAAATAAAATACTTTTAGCCAATTAAAAATAATCTATTGAATATATGTATATAAAGATAATTAGAGTAACGATAAAAGTAAACGGTTGAGATACTGTAAAAATGTAGTAACGTTACTGTTACTGTTACAGACAAAAAAAGTAAGGTCATTATTAAAAGAAAGTAACGATAATAACGACGTTTTATATAACGAGTTACTTCTTATCCCTGGTACCTGAAGATGTCATTTTATTCTTGTTTTACGTCTAATACGATAAAGATAAAATGACGCACTAGGGCACTCGGGTGAAGTTTCTGAATGCAGCCCTATGGGGTCGACATTTCATCCTCGTTCCGAGTAGCTCCACAAGAACCGACGAGGTCCCTGGCGCGACACGCGCATAATGTCAGCTGATGTAATCACTTCGACCGAGCCGCTGAACACCTGGGGCATAAGGCTTCTTTAATCTTACCGTCTCTAACGTGGTGGACGCACGCGAGTGAATGCGCCCAGAGGAGCGCGGGCGTATGCCGGGCAGGATGCACTTCCGGAGGAAGCGCTAAATATCCTTTCAATCTCGAAGCTTCAGTCGCTCATGAGGGAAGATTGCGTCGGATTAAAGGGCTGCCGGGCTCTTTTCGCTTCGTATTCGAGCGCAAGCTCGGAATTGCGAATCCGCTCGGAATACCTCCCGCGATCTCCATCCTCTTCCCATTAATAAAATCCGCAAATCGGATGTTTACAGAGGGTTTCCCTGAGCGAGGTTCTCGAACGTGTCAGCCACCGCACCTGCCCATCCGTCCGTCTGTCGTTTATTCTCGCTTCATTTTACTTTGAGATATTCACTGTCCGGCCGAGCTAATTCTCTCGCGGCTAATTCATGAATATGCTGATTATCGCGCAATTCCGCGTGCGCCACTAATAGTGGCGAGAGCGCATCGTCGTTCTCGCACGTTTGTAGGAATCATATGATGATCGATAAAGAGCTTTCGAGATTCCACGATTGAGTGATCGTCATTTCTAGATTGGTACCTAATGAGATGTGATATCCGATATGATAATTTTATCTTAAATGGGCAGTTAATGAAATTTTTACTTGCAGTTAAGTAACAAAATTGAGAAATATTACAATTTATCATAATTCGTATGAGTAAATTTAACTTAAATTAATTATGTGTTTTAGAAAAAAAACTTCATCTTTTTAATGCTTATTTTGCAATATCAATTCAAATTAAAATATTCAGTCTTATCACTTTTCTATTTTTTGGTCTTCTTTCATCTTTTAAAGTTTTAATCTAAAGTTTTATGTAGGGAGCATACAAGTTAAACTACATAACAAATTTAGAATGAGATTACTTCTAAGATTACTTGCGGAGTAACTTTTTATTAGAGAAAGGAACCGATACGTCTTTAATGTAAAAATGTATAAAATTTTGTTCTCCTTTTAAAGCAAGAAAAAAGGAAGAAAAAGGGAATTAATAAAATTTTTCATTGTTAATCAAATATATATTTTTTATTGCATTACGTTAAATACAAATAATTATTGATTATTTTATTATATATTAGAAAGTGCAAGAAACAGCACAAAATATTTCATATTTATAAATATAAGACACATAATTTACAATTAATTGTTCTTATTTTGTTATTGGGTCAATACTTAATATTGCCATAAGACTTTTCATCTGTCGGCATGTTAACGATGACTGATTAAGCAGTTAAACTTATTTTTGTATAGTTATCATACGCAATCGTTCCTACAGAATTTAGCATACATTTTTACGATTTTTTAATTTAATTTAATATATTGAACAATTCAGAAAAATATTTATAGCAATAAAACTATTTTTATTTAAAAAAAATAAACTTTTTATTTTATTTAATA